TTTGATAGGGAATTGAGGAGAGTGATAGATGGGGGCCTATTAAAGAAGTGCCTGCAGAACTCCATTGCGCTTATGAAGGCTTTAGGTCCTTGGATATTAAGGAAACCTATTCCACTTTAGTCAAACTTGGAAGTTCTTAAAGAATCATGTAATACCATCTGAGTTTTAAATAAAATGCAGCAAATCACTAAATCATTTCTTTGTTTGTTCGGGAAAAAAAAGGAGGGGTTGGGTTGGGGAGGGGTTGTGTTCTTTTGAAGTGATTCAAAGCTCATTTCGAAGGTCTCTTTAAGATCTAGGACCACCATTGGATTTTTTCCATTTTTGGTGTTTTTGGCTTTAATCATGGTCGGAAGCTTGATTATGAGAGTTATGACGGTTGTGGGTCATTCCTTTCTTAAATATTAGGTTTAGTTTCATTTATTTTTCCTTTAGTTTCATTTTCATGAAGTTACTTTCCTGTAATGGAGCTTGTTTTCTTAAAGCAGAGTATCCCCATAAATCCTTCCTTACTATATTCTAAATACTTCCAGATTCTCCCAGTTGTTGTGCCCTTCCCTTCGTCTTCTTTTATGCCCCATCCTATTTCCTTCTTCACCCTCTTGATGCATGCCAGTCTCCTTCACCTTCTTCTAACCAACAAACTCGTCCTTTTGTCCATCCCCTTCTTCCCTCCACGGCAACCATCTTCTTCTCCTCCTTAGTTGCCTGCCCCTACATCATCATCCCTATGCCACCAACCAGCCACTTCCACAGTCTAAAACCTTTTACCCAACTTTCCCATGCCCAGACCAGCCACACATCATGTAAATTTTAATCTTAATCCACTTTCATGGCTATCCCCTATCATTTACCTGAAGGATTCCAATAATGTCCATCTTACACCCTTTGTGCCACTCTACTCCACCTGACCCTATTCTCGTGTCCATGTCCCTTTCCATCTACAAACCTAGCCGACCACCATCAACCTAATTCTAGCCCCTTAACCATCTAGTTATAACCGAAACCTAGCTCATTTACAACCATTGTTCTAAAACCCCTACCAAACCTTAGCCCTGTACCTTGGCCCATAAAGCCAAAGCCACTTACAACAACCCTAACTTTCAAAAACCTTATCCTCATACCCTACAATCCTATCCCACCACACTCCTCACTGTTTCGTGTAGGAGCCAAGAACCCTGGTCCTGCATTGAAGCCAAGTGGACTTGGGTGAGTTCCAACTTATATAAATTTTTACTTAAACATTGACCGAATGTCATTAGGTGGGGGCTGCACTAGCATGTCATTTGTTTCACCTTCAACCTAGCATTTTTATTTAAGAAATACCTTCAACCATTTATTTGAAAAGGCCAGTACAATTGTTGATTAGGAGTGGTTGATGTAGATGAGTTACGGGTATTTTGGTTTTTAGTTTCAGAATTTGAGTGGCGGTTTAGGAATAATTAGTAAATTAAAATGATCAATAAATAAAAATAACGGCAAATTTCTCTTCCTTTTTCTTGTTCTCTCCTCAACCCTCCGCTCTCTTTCCTCTTTGCTCACTTCACTATTTCTGAAATCCCTCTTCCATTTATTTCTCTCTTTACCCTACTTGTTATCCCACGGAACTTCATCCCTCTACCACCCCTCGGATCACCACTCCTCTCGCTCTCTGCCCCTATCCACCATCACCCCATCACTCTTTTCCCTTCTGGCCCCTCTCACGTCCTGGCAGCATGGGTCCAAGGGACATTTCGTGCTCAAATTTCGGCGATAGAGAAGCACTTCAACTCAGTAGAGCGGTTTCGTGAAACCTCCAACCTAGCTTGTATCAAGAAAAGGTTGCGATGCCCGCCATTTGTCTCTCGGTGAAATTGTTTTTTAATTTTAGCTTTGGTTCTCTGTTATTGCTTTTTCTATCATTCCTCTTGTATTATGAGCACCCATGTTGTGGGCTGCCATTTTTACCACTTTTTGTGGGCACTGTAATTACTATACACATTTATAAAAGTCAAACAATTTTTAAAAAATAGCGGTACATTAAGTAAATGATAACAGAGTTTTTTATTATACATTGTCACTCGATGAATGCCAATGTGTCTTAAAGATAATAAATCTATCTTCCAATGTGTTTTGGAGATAAGAAGTCTATCTTTAATCAATGTTTGGGGTCTTTTATGTGCTTTCTGGTCTTCTATTATATGGGGACTTGTTGAGGGGCCTTTAGAAGCATCTAGACTTACATTTGGGGTCTATATGAAGTCTTCTATGTTGCCTAAAAATACAATAACAGGTTTTAAATTTAACTGATTAGAGCCATTGGATTAGTTATTCTTCTGTTCTTTTCTTCGTCTCTCTTCCTAGTTGGCATCATTTGGTATTAAAATATTCCGCTGTCCAATAAATCACTGATCGTACGAAGGATACGTTGTGCTTGAGGGCCCCAGAAGAATCCCCCGAATGGATAAAGAGATTTAAGAAATTTGACAAGATTAGAGCATTTGACACAACATTTGATGCATTGATCAGAACTCGATATGAAGATGGAAACGTATCGAACGATTCATTAAGTGCCAATGTGAATCGCTTCAATTGCCGTATTTTGCAAGTAGAGCCAGAAGAAGTGAGACTTGAAGTTGGATGATTTGAGTCCTAAGGCATGCTCAAGACCATGGAGATGAGGTGGGATGGCTCTTCTCATTCTCAACATCCATGGTGAAAACTTGTCAATTGGTACGACCCATTTTAGATGATAAGATGCAGATGAGAAATACTTGTGGGGAAACCTATTTTGATGGACGAATGACTTCATGTTATGAAGAGTTTGAAATTTTTCCCCGTGTATGGAGATCCTTTTCTGAAGGGAGAATATCCTTTTCTGAGAGGATTTTCCATGAATTACAACTTTTGTTTTTAAAGTAGGCAGTCCAATAATATATGGTGAACCGGTTATTAAAATGTGAAGGTCTTTGGAACATCATGGCGAGTGTTGGATTACGCCACCAACCACCAAGACTAAGGTCTAAGTGATGCAAGGCTAAATTATTCAAATTCTTGTTTAATTTCAAGAGATGTATATTTTAATTTTAGTTTTAAGATTTAATTTTAGGTTCTAAGTTTTCTTGGGATTCTAGGTTTTTTTTTGTATTTTTTTATTTGCTATTTATGGGTACTGTTCATGCATTGCTGTTCACATGAGTATTTATGAAATTTTATTATTGTTTAGGGGTATTTAGAGTCTTAAACGTTTTATTGGATCACAAGTTAATTTTAGGGTTTCATAAGTCTATAAAAGGCTGATGTCACATTTTGGGAGGCTTATGTTATTGGAATGAATTGTCTTTTATAAAAGAAGAAAGTTCTGCTCGTGGCTTACTCTACAACCATGATGTTTTCTCCTTTATTGCTGATTTACTTGTTTGGGGATTGGGAAAAATATGAATTTAATTTCTCACCTTTCCTTCCTGCATCAAGTGCCATCAGAGCATGGTTCGAAGATGGTTAGAGATTGTGATGGCTGGTCATGGAGGTCTTAGCCGTAGGGATGCCAATCTGATCCCACTGCGCAATGAAATCAACAACTTGCCCGAGAGGGTTACAGACTTTTGCTGCGCAAGTGACACACCTGCAACAACGTGCCCTAAATGAAGAGGAAATTATGGGGACAGATCCAAATCGTGAGCGTCTTTATGGAGAATGGCACGAATCAATGTTTAAGTTTGAGGGGGAACGGACTGATGGCGTGTCAAACTACATAGATGGGATTGATGTGCGATGGCATCCACGGGAGCATAATTTTGAAGTACTTGAGTATCACCGTTTTTACCTATGTGCTCCGCCTGAAGAGTTGAGTGAGGAAGGTGATATAAGACCTATACGTGGGGGACATCATTGTAGGGTTTTCTATTTTAAGGAGGATAATACTGATTTTGATCAAAACTGTATCCAAAATGAGCAAGTTGTAGATTGCGATTCACCTTGAATCTTCGATGATGCACAGACGAAGAACAAGATCTTGCACGATATCCGATCTATGATGAAGAAATTTATTTTGTGGGCGAACTGATCTTTGACGAAGAAAAATATGAAGATCTTAAGGATATCAAAGAGGTGGAATATTTAGGAGATTTAGGGCAATGGAATAAGAGTAGTGCAGTGGAAGCAAGGTCGACTCAGGATATGCAAATTGTGGCCTTAGATTCTAAGAGTAATGAAATAAATGTCGAGAAAGCCTCTAAAGATCAGAACATTGAGTTTGGAGTATCTTACATGATTTCAATGGGAGTTTAGCCAAATGTGGTAGATTTGCATTTATTCTTCAATATATATATCAGGATCCGTTTCTTGAAGAATTTTTTTTACTGTGAATAATATTTGAGCCAATAAAGAAGAAGAAGAAGGTGGTTTTGATGTTGAATTCATCTTAGCACACTTCAAAACTCGAGGACGAGTTTTTTCCAACCAGGAGAGAATGATTTCAGGACAAACTATTCTAATTTTTAATTTTTGTTTAATTTCAAGAGATGTATATTTTAATTTTAGTTTTAATATTTATTTTAGGGCTTTTAAGTTTTCCAGGTATTCTAGGGTTTTTTATATATATTTTTATTTACTTTTTATTGGTACTATGTTACTGTTCACGGGTATTGTTCATGCGTTACTGTTTACATGGGTATTTATGAAATTGTAGTATTGTTCAGGGGTATTTTAGAGTATTAAATGTTTTCTTGGATCCTAAGTTAATTTTAGGATTTCATAAGTTTATAAAAGGTTGGATGTCACATTTTGAAAGGCTTATGTTATTGAAATGCATTTTATTTTATGAAAGAAGAAAGTTCTTCTCTTGACTTAATTTACAGCGAATGGGAAAGGTGGATTTAATTTTCACCTTTCCTTCCTGCATCAAGGTTCAAATGAAGTGGAATGGATGTCTGGTGAAGATTTTTCTAACTGGAGGGTGAGTTGACCGATGTAGATTGTGTTAAGAGGCACTTTGGTTTTTATTTCCATAGGGATTTTATGGGCACTTTAAGAAATATTTAGCATTTTAATTAAATAATCAATAAATAAAGTAGGGGTAAAATGGGTAAGGGATAATAGTGTTTTTATTAAGTATTATTACTTGATGAGTTGCAATGTTTTTTAAATAATATAATTCTTTGTTTGGTCCATGCTTTGAGGGTTTTTGCGTGGCTTTGTGTCTGTCAATGTATGAGGACTTGGTGAGGGGTCTAAATCATTTAGAGTTGGGTTTAAAATCTATAAGAAGTCGTCTCTTTTATTGGAAATTGTGTGACGGAATGTAAATCTAATCAAGAAGATAGCCAATTGGGCTAGCTCTTCTTGTTTCTCCCCCCCCTTCTTATCACTTCCTGGTTTTCATCATTAGTCCAAGCTAAGATGAACTTTTTGGATTGTTTCTCATCCCCTGATATGCTTTTTTATCCCATGATTTATTGTTCGATAGAATATTTGTTTGTAATGATGTAAATGCTCACTATACATTATGAACTTTTAAAAAAAAAATGCTCATTGTACATTATGTGATACTCTACATCCTAGCCCCTTTAAGAAAAAATAAAGCACCTGGCTTCAGAAAAGAAAAACTATTTTGGGTTCCATTTGGCATATTGGTAGGGCCCATCCCTTGTGAGTTTCAAAATTCCAAGCAAAAAAAAAAAGGAAAAAAAAGGAAAAAAAAGGAAAAAATGATAAGGAAAATGAAAAGAAAAAGAAAAAAGAAGCACTATATTGATGTATTTTCTAGAGAAGCTAGACCGAAAAGAAGAATGAAAAGAGAAGAACTACATTGATATTACCACTTCCAAGTAGAGGCAAAGTTCATGGGATACGAATTGCTACTATGGGGAGTCAAGAAGAGCATTTGATTAAGCCTACTGACTACTTGTGCTTCTTCATATCATCATTTTCTTTGTAACATCATTTGTGTAAGCGTTGTGGCTTGCCTATATCTTTCTGTTCTGTTTTTCCTTACAGAAATTTTCATCATCGTGCATCTGCTTAGATTCCCCTTTACTGTATTAAATAGCTGAAATCTGTTCAAATGTAAGGAAAATTAATTGGTTGCAATGAGTACTTCCGTTCATAGTATTCTTGAAAATTGCATTTGGAAGCTGAACAAGTTGAAAATGGTCTGTGGATGGAAAGCATTTAGTTCCTATTTTCTTTTATAGAGACTAGCGAAACCATCCACAGTGGCTATCTAGTTCAATGTTGGGCATCAATGAAATGGAGTTACCAATTGAGAATGGAAGGATAAACAAATAGAACTCACTGACTCAATTACAGCTAAATCGTGTTTACCGTAGTCAAACGGCATAACTATATGCTAACTTTAGCTCCTAATTCACTTCTTAGTTTGCCTCATTTGCAAGTTTGGACAATAGAGAAACATATCCTAAGAATTATGTCTGGTAGTTATTGATGTATAGATAATAGAGTGTGTTTTCTTGTGATTGTTTCCATCAATGTGTGTATATCTGTGGATAAATTCTTCGTAATTTCTGTATATCTTCCATTTGTTACCCATGGGATAGCAAGAACAATGCAAGTTGTGTTGCATTTCCTGTTATGTTAATATTCCTATGTGGGTATTAGATGCTATTGTCATTAAACTTTATTTTGGGGCTAATTTGTCAGAATTGCCCTATTCTTTGCTGATTTAAGCAGGGCTTAGGGACCCAGGGACCAAGAAAGGAGAGCATTGTAGGGAATAGTGAGTTCTCTGATCGAAGAGATCAAGAATCCCTTGCAAAACAAACATCTGATGCATCTCTACACGGTACAAGCAGTGAAACTAATGTTGGCAGGGAAATGGGTATGGCCAGAAATTTAGGTATGAAAGATGTATCAAAGCCCCCTGTCTTACCTCAAGCTTCTGCCTCATCGAATGCTCCTTTCAAGGAGCACCATCTGAGACAACTCAGAGCTCAATGCCTTGTCTTTTTAGCTTTTCGGTATGCGTATTGCTTCCTTCCTCAGGCCTCTAAATTAGGCATGTCAATTATTGGCGTGTGCCATTGTTGTCTTTTTCACTCTTATGGCATAATGTGATGGCATCTTGTTATGTGCAGAAATGGCTTAGTTCCCAGGAAACTGCATCTTGAAATTGCATTGGGCTCCTTTGAACTGACTGAAGGCAAGTTGATTCTACATGCATTCACGTCTATGTTACCTTGACCGGGCAAAATGACAAACATTTCAGTGTCTGCAACCCCTGACATGCTACAACATTTAAATCGTACATGTCATATTTATCAAGAAATATTTAGGGTGTTATGACCCCCAAAAACTGATCGTCGAGGCTAAACAGGGCTGACTGTAACTTATTTATTACTTGCTTATAAAGGGGCTCAGCTGGCTCGCCATATTGATCATTTATTAATGGGGGATAACTTTTGGCCCTATTAAGGAAAGATCCACTATTTTTAGGCTGCTCCTCCATTTGAATAGGGCTTCACATGGCCCCTATTATTGTCTCATAAAATCTTAAAAGAACGGCTAGATATGCCTACCCTCCATTTTATTAGTTCAAGTTATTGTGAAAAAGACTATTATATTTCAGAATACAAATGTATGTTAACTGGTATTGTACTTTTGGTATTGAAACTTGATACTACAAAATCTCTAAAACATGCATGATATTGTAATAGGAAACTTATTATTATTATTATTATATTTATAAACTGTGTTAAGTAAATGTTATTTTTATTTAGTATTTAGATTGGAGGGCCTAGTTTTTAGCCTCTCTTTTCTTAGTTGAAGGATGTGATCATGTGAGATGTATGGGGTGTGTGCACTAACTGGCCTCGTTTACTATGTTATAGAATATACATAAATTATGCCTTTTATTTATTGATGTCCCTATGCATTGTATTTTTTGATGCATTTTATTCTCTTACTTAACTTAGAACTTGACGTATCTTGTGTTTGTTTTTAAAATAGATGTTACGTTTTTATAATTTTATAGTTGTATGGACATGTCACTTTGATTGAATCATCAATGTAATATGAAGTGATGGATGGTGATGAAGAGAGTGGGACCCGCCAGTGGGGTCATGTCATTTCTCTGTCACTGTCTGTCATTTCAGCTAACACAATGGACTACGTCTCTAGAGTCCATTGGACATTTACTATAGATTCTCTTTACCCATTTCTTTTGATTATATTTACCAATAAATTTTCATTGTCTTTGTTCAATCAATATCAGGTATCAATAATGGAGATGGCACTCTCAAAGGATTGAACAATAGAGGAAAGGAGTTAGTGTTTAGTGAGTCTGGTAACAACAGTGAACCTGCTGGTCACTTGGGGGGATCAAATGATACCAGAGAAAATGAAAAAGAGAAGATAATCTCCACTGGTAACTTACCAGGTTCTTCGTCCACTGGAAGCCTTCTAGAGACAGATTCCTCCTCAAAGGACACAGAGAGTGGAAGAAAGGGGAAAAGCAAGAAGGTTCTTCCAACTGAGAGATCTAAAATGACAGAAGAAAGGAAGCGCAATTTATCTGCCAGAAAAACACAAACGGCTGAGTCAAAGATGGTGCTGATGATGCAGCAAGAACCTGATATGAACTCTCCTGCGGATTTTCAGAGGGTTTCAAATGATAAGTACCATGAAAAGGAGGGTGCTGAGTATTTTGTTGGAAAAATGAATCAGGTTTATTCGAATGTTTTAGACACGAGTAAGAGAATGGTTCCTCATGCACCTGGCTTAACTGGACCTGGGGCATCCTCTTTCCGGGATGTACCGGTTGTTGTGCCTCAACAACATCCTTTCTTGGGTAAAGTAGACAATCCCATGAATCACCCTCAAGCTTTAGATGGATCTCCTGCCCTTCTGAGAACTGCAGCTGGGGATCAGAATCCATCTATTTCATTGTCGAAGGATCGTTTCCCAATGACTACTGGCAAACTTGCTGATATTGATAATGGGTTTAAGAAAATTTCTTCATCTGCATTTGATAGCCATTCTCTCTCTGCTACTGCTGGCCAGGGTAAGAGTTCTCGTGCTACTCTTGAGTCGGTTAGCCCTATTACTCTGGGTGATACATATTTTGTGGCTCCTGCATTGAATGGTTCAAATGATCAGACGGTTGTTGACTTGCAAAAGCAAAGTAGTTCTGATGTGTCCAAGGGTAGGAATCTTCAGGAAACTGTGCATTATGCACAGCTGCTTACAGTTTATGAAAAAGCAGCTGAAGAAGAAGAAAACAAAGCAGATGCTAGTGACGCACCATCATCTCCCCCAAAGTACAGTACCATTGACAAGTGGATCACAGACCAACGCAAAAGAAAACTTCTTGAAGAGCAAAGTTGGGCACTAAAGCAGAGGAAGACGGAGGAGAAGATAACTGATTGTTTTCATAAGTTAAAGGTATGTTTTTCTAGATTTTATTTCATTGTTTTGAGTTCTTGACAATTAGTGGTATAGTTGGATGTCTTAGGTCTTTTAAGTTTATGTTGTTAGTGATCTGAAAAAGGGGGCTGTAATTTCACTCACACACAGACACAGAGGCCCAGATTTATACTTGTGCATTTGTGTGTTTGTGGGCTGGTGGATGCAAGCATGTTTCTTTCCAAAGTTGAGTTGGACCCTACTACTAATACTGATTTGACTCATGAAATGTTGCCTTTCTCAAATGTTTTTGATGCTGATGATAACTTCTAATAAATTTAAAAACTGATGAGAAAGGCAAAAGGAAATTGGAGTTTATAGTAAAAACTGCTGAGAAAGGCAAAAGGAAATTGGAGTTTATAGTAATATATGCTTTAGCTGAAATAATGAGTAACAATAAGACAAGGAAAGTTCATCTTGTATGAGCTCCGATCTGAAAGTGTTTAGGGTGTGATCTCGTAGGAGGGTTAAAAAGGATCGGTGTGTGCATGCGAGCTCATGTTTACGTTCCCGAGAGTGTGCATGTGTGCGCGCATGCATGCCCAAGCATGTGCATGTGCATGTGCATGTGCATGTGCGTGTGTGGGTGTTTGTGCATGTGTGCGTGCTTGTGCACGTGCGTGCGTGTATGCATGCTCGTGCGCCCATGTGTGCGTGCGTGTCTGTGAGAGATGTAAGTACATGCATCACAGAGGAGGAGGAGGAGTAGTGGCGGGTGGGAGGTGCACACCCTGAGGCAGTGCCACAGGATTTGACACAGGAATTCAAATTTAAGACATGGCTGCTGAAGGATGACACCTTGTGTTTTGTGGGTCCAATGAACAGAAGTTCATCATGTGCATGGTGCCATTTCCCTGAGGTGTTGATAGCTGTCTAGATTTTTAGATGTTAGGCATGCCAAATTTCTTTAGTCAAATATTCTCCTGCTCTTAAAGAAATTTGCCTTCCACACAATCTTATCGACGAGTTAATTTCTTGAAAGGTGAATTATTTTGTACATACTTCTCCCTCTCTGTTCCTATTTGGAGGTCGTCAAAATATTTTGTATCTTTGAATCTATGCCTAGATGAGCGCTATAGATAGTAACCAAAGGGCACCTCGAAATCTCTGAGGCATTGAGTTGTCCACTTCACCTGTAGGATGTAAAGCAAAAAGTAAACGGTAATCCATCTCTACCCTGGATATGGGAACAACAGATAAACAGAAAAATATATATCTTTCCATTTTGATGGCTTCAGTATTTCCATTTTGATGGCTTCAGTAGATTTTATGATCATTGACCTTGTTGGCCATTGGACCTTGCTGATGTTAGTTTAATCTATGTTTATTCTCTTAATACTGTTAAATGTTCTCATTCTACTTTACTTGGCTTTTAAGCTCTTCACTTCAAGTTTTCCTTTGACAGCTCATGTTGAATGAAATATCTTGAAGTCTCAACGGAGTTTCTAAAACCTGTAGAGTTTTTTGTGCAACTGATAATCAATTTTTTGAATTTGGTTGTTACTGTGCATACTTTGTATTTTGGAGACATTTTAATTTCTTCATCTCTTTCTCGTGGCATTCTTCCCTGAATCTTAGGTATAAATAAGTCTATTATGGTCTCCCATGCTATTACTCTTCAGCCTGAAGATAATTACATGTTCTTTGGATTGAAAAACTATTTCACTGGATGAGAAACATGGCGGTTCGTGGATGCCACAATCATGTTTGCATCCAATAGTATAGCCACAGTTTTTGGAACGAAACTTAGAATCCGAACTTGGTCTTTTTGAATGCCATAAATTGGATCTTAGACTTTTTGTCGAAAACTTTGAATCCGAACTTGGTCTTTTTAAAGGAAATTTTAGTCCTCAGCGAACTTGTATTTGGAATAGCATGTACACAATGAAGAAGGTTATCCAATGCAGAAGGGTGTGAACACACTAGAATTTGAAGCAAATGAAGTTGCATCATTTTCTCCCCCTAGAAAGACAGGAGGATTGCTTTAACAAATGTTTGGTAAGTTACTAGTTGAATTAAGAGGAACAGAACTTGATATGGCCCATCTTCTGGTGACTTCTGTTTGTCCTGCTTTGCCTAAAATGCTTGTTTTGATCTCCCATCTTTTGGTTTTCTACATGAAATTAAAGTTGTTTTGCTTAATGTGCTATATCTTTTGAAGATCAAATTCTATCGGCCAAAAAGATAATCTTTTCCTGCTAAGTTAAGGATTCTGAGTGTCCAGAATATTTCTTTCGGTTTACAGGAAAATGTGAATGCTTCAGAAGATATATCAGCCAAGACAAGAAGTGTCATTGAACTCAAAAAGCTTCAGCTGCTTCAGCTTCAAAGGAAATTGAGAAGGTTGTAATTTGCTATCTCAAAATGACGTCTTACATTTCATGTTTTTGTCTTTCCATATTGTGTCTTTTGTACTTAGCTTGTTTTAGATGGTTGATGCACTGATTTATTCGGTGGCCTACAGTGAATTCTTGCATGATTTCTTCAAGCCCATCACCTTTGATATTGATCGTATAAAATCAGTTAAGAAGCATAGACATGGAAGGCGGATAAAACAGCTCGAAAGATATGAGCTTAAAATGAAGGAGGAGAGGCAAAAGCGGTTCCGTGAGAGGCAGAAAGAGTTCTTCACTGAAGTGGAAGATCACAAGTTTGTTCTTTTATCATTTATCTGCCAAATATTGTGGAAATCATTTATACTCTGCATTATTTCTAGATATTGGTTTTTATTTTGGAACCATAAAAAGAATAATACTTTTTTTTCTTGAGTGGTAGTATCCTGTGTACTGTTTTTTCTTGAGTGGTAGTATCCTTTGTCTTGTTCTTGTCAGTTCATTGGTTTTGCATTCAAAGACAATGTACTGTTAACTAAGTTTTGTAAAAAACTTGTCAACTCAATTCACTCTGGTTCTGCCAAGCCATGAGTTGCTGAATACCCTGTAAACTTGTTTAGAATTTGAACGAACTCTGCCCAGTCTAAAAGAAATTAAATAAAAATTTTAATTTATGACCAGACAAGTCTTATATATTATTTAGAAACTACTTGGTTGTGTTCTTAATCATTGCTGATATGTTAAACATTGCTGTAGTTGTGTTTTGCATTTTCAATTTCCTTTGTGATATGCAAGGAATTCCTCGAGCAGCTATGATGTATGCGACCGACAATGACTATTTGTCTTGTATGAATTTTCTTTCATTTTATAATCTTGACTGGTGCAACGTATTATTTCTTTGTAATTTGCCTATTTGGTTCTTTGTTTAGGGAAAGGTTGGAGGACTACCATAAGATTAAGAGAGAACGATGGAAGGGAGTTAACAAATATGTGAAGGAGTTTCATAAGAGAAAAGATCGGGCACATCGTGAGAAAATTGAGAGGATCCAGCGTGAGAAGATCAATCTGTTAAAGAACAATGATGTTGAGGGATATCTAAGGATGGTTCAGGTTTTATGACTTCTCTCTTTCATCTCTATAATCTTCTTCACAGAATTTTCTGTAAAGTCTTTTGTAATGGTACTATATCAAGAATTCTCTTTCAATGCAGGATGCAAAATCTGATCGTGTTAAGCAACTTCTTAAAGAAACAGAAAAATATCTTCAGAAGCTTGGGGCAAAACTTCAACAGGCAAATGCCATGGCACGGCGTTTTGGGATGGAAACGGAGGATACAAGAGCAGCAAATGTGATTGATAAAGATGAACCTGATGTGGAAAACGAGGATGAAAGTGCCCAGGTATACGTTTTCTTCCCCGAGGAATATATAAAGTAAAATTTTCCTCATCTGCAGCTGATATATTGGAAATTTTCTGATGCAGCATTATTTGGAGAGCAATGAGAAATACTACCTATTGGCTCATAGGTATTGGCATCATACTATTAAGTTTCCCTTGACTTTCTTGGTTGGCATGATGATGGCAATTGTATTTGATGACTTCATAATTTGATTCATTGACTTATTCAGTCGTTTCATTCTGTCCTTTTTTTTTTGTTTTCTTTCCTTTTGGTTGCGAGATTCTTGCTTGCTTACATTTCTTCCGTCATCAGTCCTGGCTTCAGGATTTCATTCTTATTAATGAAAAAGTTGTGATTTGAACTGGTTTTCTACAGTATAAAGGAGAGCATCAATGAGCAGCCAACCTCTCTTCAGGGTGGAAAATTGAGAGAGTGAGTTGATGCTTTCTTTGTCTCTTGTAATGTTTCCTTATGGAAATTCTTGACCTATGCCCTATGAATTGATGGCAAATGCATGCTTCAGGTTATTTATGTCTAGTTAAATGCACTCAATGTAATTGCATTATATTCAAAATCTTGGAACTAACTCCTACTTTTTGTTACAGGTATCAGATGAATGGCCTGAGATGGTTGGTTTCACTATACAATAATAATTTGAATGGGATCCTTGCAGATGAAATGGGTCTAGGAAAAACTGTTCAGGTACTATTTTTGTGGTTACTATATTGTCTGCTGGGACGCCCATTCCTTAACTGCTGAAATGAACTTGGTTACTATATTGTCTGCTGGGACGCCCATTCCTTAACTGCTGAAATGAACTTGGTAGTAGTTAATGGAAACTTACTATTTCTTAGGTTATTTCTCTGATTTGCTACCTGATGGAAGTCAAAAATGATCGAGGACCTTTTCTGGTGGTAGTACCATCGTCTGTTCTTCCTGGATGGGATTCTGAAATCAGCTTATGGGCTCCTGGTATAAACAAAATTGCATATGCTGGTCCTCCTGAAGAGAGACGCAGGCTATTCAAGTAATGACATTTATCTTTATTTGGTCTACAAATTAATGGCATTTTTAAGGCATTCTGCAATCACTTCTGCTTAAAGTCCTTAGTATCTACAAGTCACTTTTTCACCTTTCGGAATTTTTTAAAAAAAGTTCCTTACTCATATAGAGTATTTGTGATTTTCATTTCCTGTTTGTGCTTATGGTTGCAGGGAAATAATAGCTCATCAGAAATTCAATATCCTGTTGACAACATACGAATATCTTATGAACAAACATGACAGACCTAAACTCAGCAAAGTACATTGGCATTATATTATAATTGATGAAGGCCATCGCATAAAGAATGCATCTTGCAAGTTGAATGCAGAATTGAAGCATTACCAGAGCTCTCACCGTCTTCTGTTGACAGGAACGCCTCTCCAGGTCAACATAGATTCTCCTTATTGCTTTCTATATCTTTTGAAGTTCTCTATGACCACAAATTATCCAAAAAAGAAAGGTTTTATCTGTGATTACTCATTCAATAAGTTGTTAAATATTAGCAAGTTTTTTGTTGCTTATAATTGTATGCGTCAGTTTCTGTTGTTACAATCTAGGAGCCTTATATTTTAGTTGAATTCTTACTGGTTCGAAAAGTATTTCATAAGGCCGTGACTGTATTTCTCACTGGAAAAACTGGTCCTGGCGCTGGAAAACCTGCAAATCTGTCATCCCAATTCGAGGAACATGGATCTGAAAAACAATCGATCTCAAGCCCATAAAGATATCCACCTTTGCAACACTTTTTGTGGACAGTGCATTTCAAGTCTTCATAGATCTGCCAGATTTGCACCATTTTTAGAGCTCCTGAGTCCTCAATTAGGGGTGGAAATGGATATTCGGGCTATTGTTCTTTTTGCTGGTGCCAGGTCTGCTCTTTCCATGACGTTTCTGCCAATGCTGTATAGAGTCCGCCTTATAAAAGCCTTGCCCTTTCTGATTAATGATTGAAGTATAATTTGCCTGCCAACAATTTTAATATAATGTTACTTCTTTCCTACATGATCTATGCGTATCTTATTCTGTGGTTTTCTGTTTCTTATTATTTAGAACAATCTTGAGGAGCTCTGGGCTCTCCTTAACTTCTTGCTGCCAAACATTTTCAACTCATCGGAGGATTTCTCCCAGTGGTTCAACAAACCATTCGAGAGTGGCAATGATAGTTCCCCCGATGAAGTAAGCTTCACCATCTTCGTAAATGACTACCATTTAAATGTACATGAAGTTTCTCCAATTTCCTTTATTTGTGATTGATGCTTTTTTATCAGGCTTTATTATCTGAGGAGGAAAACCTTTTAATTATTAATCGTCTTCATCAAGTCCTGCGTCCTTTTGTACTTCGAAGATTGAAGCACAAGGTATGCGGAAAATATTTGTTTTTCTTTATCAAGTTTACTGTTATGTGCAATATTGTTGGCAATATTGTGGAATCTTCGTTTTCATGGTAAACGTTCATGGTTCTTAGTTCAGAAATTATATACTTAATGTTGTTACTTTCTTGCCATGTGTTCAGAATTTTGTACAACTTGTTCAGAAATGATGTTGTGGTCTTAGAAACAGTTTCAGCTGATAACTTGTTTTCCTACTCACAGTAATAGATAACTGCATATGGAGAGAAAAACATTGTTTCCAACTAAATCTCTCTATGGACTGCCGTGTTAATTGTTCTTGAAGTCTGTTTATTTTTACATGTCTATCTTCCAAGTAATGTGCGTGTTCTCTGGAAAAATAATTCTGAAATAGCTCAAATTGAGAGTAGCCAGCCATTTATTTTGTTGTATTTTGAGTCATCCTATATGTTTTCCTTTTTTTTTATGTTAATAAATGATATGCCTAAAATTCATGGATTTTCTTAACGGTTAAAATATCATTCTTGAGTGGGCTTTTTAGTCTGGGGTATGCTCGGACATGGACTCTTGATTCACTGTATTTCATCTGCCATAATTTGACATTTATATGGCTATCAGGATGCGATGGTTAGTGCAATCTATTTCTCATGCTTTGCATGAGCTGTGTTTCTGCAATTGTGTTCCAAAATCTCTTTACATGTGAGTTTGTTTGAATGTGATGCTGCAGTTTTCTTTTTTATATTTGCGTTTTTGGAATGGTAGGTGGAAAATGAATTACCGGAGAAGATTGAAAGGCTTATAAGGTGTGAGGCCTCTGCTTATCAAAAGCTTTTAATAAAGAGAGTCGAGGATAATCTTGGTTCAATCGGAACTTCAAGGGTACCTTTTAACTAAAAAGATGCAGTCAACATTTTATCCTACTGTTACAAATTTCTTTTTATAAATTTCTTACCTTTGTATATAAATGATTAGGGCCGCTCGGTACACAACACTGTGATGGAATTACGTAATATTTGCAACCATCCATATCTCAGCCAGTTGCATGCGGAGGAGGCATGTATTTATTTTCTATCTTTTTGTTTTTTATATATTTTCCTCTTAGTGAATTTTCTGTGTTCCATCATATTTTTGAATACTGTAAATTGTTTTCTTGCTGAGTTCCTGAGACCATGTATTCCCATTGTAAGGTTAACACCTTGATACCACGGCATTACCTGCCATCAATGGTGCGGCTTTGTGGGAAGCTAGAAATGTTAGATCGTTTACTACCCAAGTTGAAGGCGACAGACCATCGAGTAAGTTGAACTTTACAGTGCTTTTGCCTTTTATGATTGTTAACTGTTCTTGGAAGGCAGTTTCTGATCTGATTCCTTAAGAATATGAGATGGTTTATCTGCAATGACAAATGTTTATGTTTTGCTAGGGAAAATTCTCTCTGCAGATTGAATTTCCCTGTTGTAATAATATTTGGTCTCTTGTTCTGGTTTGAATTTGTTGTTTGTTGTTGACTTTTAAGTATTCGTGCCTTAAAATTTGTTAGAAGATCCCTTTCCATTTTGTTTACTAGAAGATCCCTTTCCATTTTGTTTTTAAGTTGATGGAGTGTTGCGTGTTCTATCCGGATACCTGACCATAATTCCTTTAAGCAGCATGCACTCAGTCATGCGTTAACATAATTTGGTATAAACAGAAATGCACACACAAACTCACACGTACTCAAACATTTGTACATACTAGTAAGAAGCACGTGTGTTGCACATGATAAAAAGCATCGATCATCAAATATAAAAACATAACATTTTCTAGATACAAAAATGTAAAAGGGAAAGTAGGGCAAAAAAATCAGCACAATGATTATTTTAATTTAATTCAAATTACTAATAGGAAAATTCACTAAGTTTGTGTAGTAGTAATGGCATGTTCATATGAGTTAAAATGTATCCTAAATGAAATCACGGCATTTTTTTGTAAATATTTAGAAAATATAGCTAAAATATTGTAACCCACAAACACTTTTCATAAATAAATTTATTGAAAGAAAAACTCCTTCCCTTTCTCTCCCCACGTAACCTCCTTTCTCTCTCTCTCTCTTCATGGTTTGGGAGTCTCTCTTTCTTTATCCACAAAATTTTCCTCTCTCTATCTCCGTTGAGATGGAATGTGAATGCTTTCTCCCTATCTCTTTTTAAAGGTATATATTTCAATTTTATCTTTCTTGTTGTTCTATTCACGTAACTCTCTCCCTCTTATAGTTTAGGAGTTTCTCTCTCTCTCTCTCTCTCTTCTATGGAATCTCTCTTTCTCAATATTTTAGAATCCACATTGACTCTCTTTCTAACCATGTAAAGATCTCTCTTGCATAACATCTTTCTAAATTTTAGGATCTCTCTTCAATAGCATCTTTTTAAATTTTAGGAGATATCTCCTTAATATTTTTTTTCGAGTGTTGATATCTCCTTAATATTCTCTCAAGATTTTATGAGATTCTAAGCAAATGAACTCCCTCTCTGTCTTTCTCTCCCCTCCCTTGTACCTCTCTCTCTTTATGTCCCCACATACCTCTCTCTCTCTCTCTCTCTCCCCCCTCTATGTTTAAGAGACGTGCTCTCTTCTCTCTCTTCTCTATAGTCTATCAGTGTATCAAAAAGCGTTAGGCGGGTCCTAGGCGGCCACCTAGGCAGGCACCCAGAACCTGTGCCGTTGCTTAGTTGAAAAAAAATAAAAATCCCAATATACCATATTCCAACAATCCAACTTGAAAAAAAAAAAAAAAAGTCAAGAAGAGAATTTTGATAATCCATATTGTTAAAACAGTAAACTGTAAAAAACATACAAGTGATATAAAAGTCAACACCCAACGCAATAGAAATATACAGAAATTTTGAAAATATACAGTCTAACAAAAGTCAACACTCATGACTCAACACAAGTTAAACAACAGTCAACAGACTCAGCACTCAGCATCAAAAGGCAAGAGTCTTATATAATCATCATCAGAAGGAATATCAATAGCGCAACGCTCATCATATGCATCAGAGTCGAGGCCATCATCATCAGAGTCATCTCCCTCTTCAATATAATGCTCATCGTCCTCTGTTTCTTTTGAATCTGCTTCTTCTTCCTCTTCTTCTACCTTCTTCTTACTAGTATGTGTAGTCTCTGCAGATGAGGCCTTAGGTGTCTTGGCTGCTGTACTTTTCTTTTTATGCTTCTTTGACTTCAAATATTGTATACCTCCTTGGTAGCCTTAAGAACATTTTTACACTGGGCAACATCTCTCGTAATACCGACAAGGTGTTTTTTAAACTGTTAAATGCCCCCATTAGTATCCTTTCCACAATAATTACATTTAATACGATTTTTATCACTTGGATTCGGGATATAACCATACTTCTAATACGGATCACCACTCTGACGACTAGAAGCTAGAGAAGATACTTCCATAGAACAAGGCTTATTTTCATCTTTTTTTGGTTCTTCAAAATTCAAAAGATGTCTAATCTGATATCGAACTGTTTCAGGAACGTTTGTACAAAAAGCAACATTACCTCTAACACTAGCAAGATGTTTTTTGAATCGGCTAATACCCCCATTGGTGTCTTTTTCACAAAAATTATACCTTATACAATTTTTATCATTTGGTTTTGGGTTATATCCATACTTCCAACGCAGATCACTTTTTCTAGTAGCCGAAATAGATCTATGACGAGGATTTTGTTTTTGTTTTTGTTTTACATAACTTAAAAATTGTTTAATCTCCTTCTTGACAGGTTCAGGAACATTTTTACAAGGGGCAACATCCCCCTTAATATCGGCAAGATGTTTCTTAAATTGGTTTATGCCTCTTTTTGTATCTGTTTTACAAACATTGCATCTAACGTAATGTTTGTCATTTGGATTCGGGTTGTATCTATATTTTCAACCCGGATCTCCACTCTGATTAACTCCTGAAGAAGACATCTCAAAATAAAGCAAGCAATCTAAAAAATGCCCTTACTTTGGTTGCTTGAACTCCAAACTTTGAGAAATACTTCAATGATTCGATGATCGATCCAATGAAATATAGTTTTCTTGACGTTTTTTTTAGTCTAAAGGGGCTTCTTGTGGGTTTAGGGTTTAAATGAACCTAAAAGCCATCATTCTTAACTTTTAAATCTTTTAAAATAACAAAACGAAAAAAAAAAAAGTCTTTTTTTCCGCCTCTGGGAGGGGCGTAGGCCCTGGGAGGGTTCCGTACCGCCTAGGCGGCCACCCAGGGATAGACCGCACAGTTTTACCGCCTAGGCCTGGGCGATGCGCCCAAGCCTTCTGGACCGCCTAGGCGCTGGGCGGTCCCTTTTTTTGAACAATGTAGTCTATACATTAAAATTTAGGGACACATTATTTTTAGGGCTCTATTATGTCATGTTTGAAAAGCATGTACCCCGCACTCTTTCTATATATACGGTCCCTTCTAATTTTTTTGACACGTATCCACCCCTTAACTCTGACTTAATAATGTATTGTAGATATGAACACATCAACTGGTATACACTGTTGGGGTATGTGGCCTTCAAAGGCCTTGAGGGCATGTAAAAACTATGACTAATAATGATATTGTACCCCAGTGGGAGTGCAGTATATACGGGACCAAAGAGGCATGCTTCGTGTGCCTATTGACTCATTTGAGTTGGGTGGTCTAGGCCCAAGAGTCGGAGTCCAAAACCTTTAGCCCCAGGTATAAGGTACAACCGTAAAGGCTTTTCAGGATTAGACCCAATTGAGGATGAAGAGATGCCTCGGGTGGTTAGCCAAGAGGTAGTTGGTCCCTTGTGTGCGGTTGGTGGCTTATGAGGGCAAGGGCCAAAATCCTCAACATAACCACCGTCGGGAATGTACATATGACAACCACATTTATGGAAGCGACCCTACTTCATGTACTTGTGCTAGAGAGAGGCCCCCAACACTATTGCGATCGTGTGAACATGTCTGTGAGACATGACTTGTTCTTAGGTGGGCACTTGTCTTCGGTACACTCCGTGTTCCCTCTATTTATTTGCTAACTTTGATGTACCAAGCATGAGCCGGTATGATCGATTGTCGGTCATGTGTTCCATTAGGTTGGTTTGAGAAGATAGACTGTGGACTATGTGAATTGGCATAGGTGGAGTGCCTTGGTAGTTTCACATATTCTTGACCCAATGGATCCAATTATGTTTATTTATATTTAGAAAATTTATTAATCAATTTTTCAAGTGCTGATTTAGGGAATAGAGGGTTGAGAATAAACACGTCTCTTTACTACGTAGTTACCAGGGATCAATGTCTAAATTGAATCTTAGTAAGATAGGAAATCCTAATTGGAGACACGAATATAAATAGGATCTTGCCCATGGAAATTACACACCATTAGAAGTGCTCCTCTCTCTCTCCCCACATGACCCTGTCTACTCTCTCTTTACTTCTCTCTCTAGTCCACAAAGGGGGTGCTATGCCCCACACTAGAGACCCTAGGGTGGCACGCGTTCGAGCTTTGGTCCTTAGTTTTGACTTGCAGTGTGAGCCATATTTTGTTGTGGTGTGCCTTTGTGGCACATACTTGGTTTTGCTCTCTTTTACCCATTTAGCATTGTTGGTTTTTCCTATAGTTATCGGAATCTCTCCACCGACCTCGCGATTCCGGTTCCGAAACCCAATTTCGCGTTTCTGTTAAGGAATCTCTGCGGAAACCGTTTTTCGGAACCAAAGAAACTCGATTCCTTAATTTCAGAATCTTGATTCAACCCATCTTTAGAAACCATTTTTCAGAAACAAGGAAACTTGATTCCTCAATTTTGGAATCTCGATTTTACATGTAATAAATCTAGTTCCGTTAGGGTTTTGAATCAAGATTCTACACTGTATAGAACATCGGTTCATAATTCACTTCATACCGTTATAATTCATTGACTAAGACTTAAATAGTTTCTTGTTAATAATAACCACAAAAGTAATGTTTTATTTTTTAGTGGATCTCATGCTTTAAGGTCCTAAACGATAGCATTAGGTTGTTGTTACGGCATGTGAAGTTGTGAACTAGAAGGGGATGTTGTTATTTATAAGGCATGTATTTTGGAAGGAATGTATTGAGATTGTGTTGCTTTTTAGATTGCTTTATTATGTTTCTTATATTCGCGGTGATGTAAATTGCTATGGTTTCTTTATCTTGCTTATATGTGATGTGAAAAGACATCTTAAGTGATCTTGCACCACGTGTAGCCTCGCAACTTTGCTTAGTACTGCACTACTGATTGTAAAGTGGTTATTAATAAATGCT